GAGAGAGAGAGAGAGAGAGAGAGAGAGAGAGAGAGAGAGAGAGAGAGAGAGAGAGAGAGAAATCTTTTAAAAGTTTTATAGAATTCTGTCAACATTACCTTTTGGACAGCTCACAGCTGCCTGTAACTCCAGTTCCAGGGGGATCTGACACCTTCACACCAATGCATTTAAAATAAATGTGAATGAGTTACTTAAAAACAATAGAAGAATGCCTCCTTCCTTACCCTCCTCGGCAGGACTTAGGCATGTCACTTTCTCGGGGATGCACGCATCTGACACTCTCCCTAGGTCTGTGTGTGCCCCTGCCCTCTCTCCACGCCCTTCTCCCAGCACTTCTCTTGAATTATGTCTACCCCACACTACGGCCTACAAACGGACCATTTCCTTTTTCCTTTCCATCTCATATCAAAGTTTTCGGGGATGGGACGGCTCAGCTTCCCATTCCGTAAGGCGAAGCATCGGTGGCTCCACATGACCGCTCTCCGTTTTCCTCCAGGAAGGAGTCCTTTTACCGGAGCCAGCTTCTTACCCACCCCCTCGCGCCAGAGAGTGCTTTCCAGAATTACTCTCACATCCCGTCTACACAAGAGCGAAAGAGGTTGACTCTTTTCCATCTACCTTCTCCCACGAGTCTGTGCTGCCAACCCAACTTCTCCGTAGGAAAAAGACAATCGCATTCAACCGGGCACAGCTGCAAAGACTAGTTCCTAAACCTGATCTCCTGTGCGGAGATGGGAGGCAGAGGGTGGTGACATTTGGCTCAGTCCACCATACCGGCAAGAAAGCCAAAACCGCCCATAAGGGCGCTGGAAAGAGAAAACGAGAAAAGCGGAGTGGGGACAGCGAGGCCGAGCAAGCAGGCCCGCGGGCCGCGAAGCCGCGCGCCTCCCGGGTAAGCACCGCGCAGCCTTTGCCCCGCCGCGCACCGGCCGAGGCGCGCGTGGAAAAAGTCGCATCCGCCCCGCTCGACTTTGCAGTCCCCTCCCTGGAACCGCCCCACACCTATCCCCGGTCCCCGCTGCTGAAACGGCAAGGGGCGGGGAGAACAAAAGCCGGACCCAGCCGTTCTTTATTCCATGCAACCGCCCCGGAGAGAATTCGGTCCCGGGGAGCTGGGTCCGCGGCGGCCCCTGGCCCCGGACCGCCCTTAAGCCTCCCGGGAGACCCGCTCTCCTTCCGCGCTGCTTCGCGCACCCCGCCCCACGCCCCGCCGCCGCCACCGCCCGCTTAGGCTTCCGCGCTTCTGATTGGGCATCTGCCCTGCCCATCTCAAAGCGGTCAACGAATCACGCTTTCGGAAAGGCCTACTGAAACCGGGGAGCAGGGGGGGGGGGCTTCCCACCCTGGCTCCTCCCCACCCCACCCCACCCCCGGCGCGAGCCTAACGCCCCCAAGCGGCCGGAGGCACTGGGCGGGGCCTCATTTGCATAACGGCCGCCCCTCGGTCTCCCCGCCCGGGGCCGGAGTCCCGCCCCTCATCCATCTAGATAATCTGTTGGACCACCGGCTGGTCACTCCGACCAGGCAAGCCTGTGGGGGAGCTGGACGGGGCGGGGCGGGCGGTCCCGGGGGCGGATTGGCTCGGGGAGTTTGCAGAAAGCAGCGGGGGGGAGGCGACTATAAGAGCGGGGACCCAGCCTCGGGAGCCCCGGGAGACGCTGATCGCGCTCGTGGGTAGCTGTGCGCGGCGGCGACCGTTGGCTGGGGTCCGGGCTTGGCTCTCCTGACTCTGGTCCTAACGTCGCTGTGCCTGGTTATATATATTTTTGGGGGGGTTTTTGCTTTTTTTGTTTTTCTCAGCCAGGATGTCCGCCCGCGGCCCGGCTATCGGCATCGACCTGGGCACCACCTACTCCTGCGTGGGGGTCTTCCAACATGGCAAGGTGGAGATCATCGCCAACGACCAGGGCAACCGCACCACCCCCAGCTACGTGGCCTTCACCGACACCGAGCGCCTCATCGGCGACGCCGCCAAGAACCAAGTGGCCATGAACCCCACGAACACCATCTTCGACGCCAAGAGGCTGATCGGGCGGAAGTTCGAGGACGCCACGGTGCAGTCGGACATGAAGCACTGGCCGTTCCGAGTGGTGAGCGAGGGTGGGAAGCCCAAAGTGCAGGTGGAGTATAAAGGGGAGATGAAGACCTTCTTCCCCGAGGAGATTTCCTCCATGGTCCTCACGAAGATGAAGGAGATCGCCGAAGCCTACCTGGGGGGCAAGGTGCAGAGCGCGGTCATCACGGTCCCCGCCTACTTCAACGACTCGCAGCGCCAGGCCACCAAAGACGCGGGCACCATCACGGGCCTCAACGTGCTGCGCATCATCAACGAGCCCACGGCGGCGGCCATCGCCTACGGCCTGGATAAGAAGGGCTGCGCCGGCGGCGAGAAGAACGTGCTCATCTTCGACCTGGGCGGTGGCACCTTCGACGTGTCCATCCTGACCATCGAGGACGGCATCTTCGAGGTGAAGTCCACGGCCGGCGACACCCACCTGGGTGGCGAAGACTTCGACAACCGTATGGTCAGCCACCTGGCCGAGGAGTTCAAGCGCAAACACAAGAAGGACATTGGGCCCAACAAGCGCGCCGTGCGCCGGCTGCGCACCGCCTGCGAGCGCGCCAAGCGCACCCTGAGCTCGTCCACGCAGGCCAGCATCGAGATCGACTCGCTCTACGAGGGCGTGGACTTCTACACCTCCATCACCCGCGCCCGCTTCGAGGAGCTCAACGCCGACCTCTTCCGAGGGACCCTGGAGCCGGTGGAAAAGGCTCTGCGCGATGCCAAGCTGGACAAGGGCCAGATCCAGGAGATAGTGCTGGTGGGCGGCTCCACCCGCATCCCTAAGATCCAGAAGCTCCTGCAGGATTTCTTCAACGGCAAGGAGCTGAACAAGAGCATCAACCCCGACGAGGCGGTGGCCTATGGCGCCGCAGTGCAGGCGGCTATCCTCATCGGCGACAAGTCGGAGAATGTGCAGGATCTGCTGCTACTCGACGTGACTCCGTTGTCGCTTGGCATCGAAACAGCTGGCGGCGTCATGACCCCACTCATCAAGAGGAACACCACGATCCCCACCAAGCAGACGCAGACCTTCACTACCTACTCAGACAACCAGAGCAGCGTGCTGGTGCAAGTGTACGAGGGCGAGCGGGCCATGACCAAGGACAATAACCTCTTGGGCAAGTTCGACCTGACTGGGATCCCCCCAGCACCCCGTGGGGTCCCCCAGATCGAGGTCACCTTCGACATCGATGCCAACGGCATCCTTAACGTCACCGCTGCCGACAAGAGCACCGGTAAAGAAAATAAAATCACCATCACCAACGACAAGGGTCGTCTGAGCAAGGACGACATCGACCGTATGGTGCAGGAGGCAGAGCGGTACAAGTCGGAAGATGAAGCTAACCGCGATCGCGTGGCAGCCAAAAACGCAGTTGAGTCCTATACCTACAACATCAAGCAGACGGTGGAAGACGAGAAACTGAGGGGCAAGATTAGCGAGCAGGACAAAAACAGGATCCTCGACAAGTGTCAGGAGGTGATCAACTGGCTCGACCGAAACCAGATGGCCGAGAAAGATGAGTACGAACACAAACAGAAAGAGCTTGAGCGAGTGTGCAACCCCATCATCAGCAAACTTTACCAAGGCGGTCCTGGCGGCGGAGGCGGCGGCTCCTCTGGAGGACCCACCATCGAGGAAGTGGACTAACTAAGCTCTCGCTGCAGTCCGCGTAAACCTCTTTTCCTTTCTCCCCCGCCCCTTCCCCTTTTGTTTTGGTTTCTTTGAAATGTCCTCGTGCCAAGTGAGATCGGTTGTTGGAAGTCTTTGGCCTGGTGCATACATGCGAGAGGAAAGGTGCAACAGCTTAGTTTAGTTACAAAAGGTTAGTTCTCAAGTTTGATTGGGGGGGAAAATGAGGTTTCTCTTTAATGCCTTTTAAGTAATTGCTGATTTGAGCTTTTTTTTTTTTTTGGTTAAGCTTAGTTTGTACGTGGAGATTTGCTCGAAATGGGAAACCTGATGTTTGCACACCTGTCCTATGGAAGCTTGGTAACACTAAATGCAGAGGAGCTTGAATTCTTTATTTTTATGTACTACTTTGAGAATAAAGTAAACATTGCAGTAATTTTAAAGACAGGTATATTCTGTAAACACATAAATGCAAATTTAAAGTAAAGCTGAAATTGATCTCAAAATTGCTGTCTGGAGTTTTCAGTTTTTTCTTCCCATTTTTACTCACATTAATCTTTAATCTAGTATGATGTGAAATTTATCTAATCCAATTTTCTCTAATTCTCAGATGAAGTTCCTGCCTCGAATCACCAACAATTTAAAGGGTGAAGAATCTTGGTAACCATGTCCTCCCCCATTTAGTATACAGAAACCTGATGGGACCTTCAAGTGAATCTTAACTCCTAAGCCCCAGATTGAGTATCCAAGTTTAAAACAACAATAACAAAAAAAAAACTTACCTAATGTTGCAGAAAAGTACAAACTGTGTTCCAGAGTCCTGTATAAAAGTTTCTCTAGAGTAACAAAAATGACAGCATCTTTTCATATAGCCAAAGGGAGGATAGAAACCTGCACCCTGTGACATACAGGTTCCTGGAACAAGAGCCAGCAGGCAAGTTTAAAAGTGTTTAATGTTGAGTCCAAGTCTGGTCAAGCTTGTTTTAACTTCCTATAAAACAGCTCAACTGCCAAGCTTCTGACAAATTCTGTAAGAGCTGGTTTGGCAGCCATAATTACTTGGGACGTGGTTCCTTTTCTGATTTGAAGATCTTAAGAGCTTTTATATCTGTCTCCAACCACTACTATCGTTAAATTGTTCCACCACATTTGTTTATTTGGGGGTGGGAACTTGGGTGAGTGGTTCTCTTCACCATGTGTGTCCCCAGGATTGACCTCAGGTTTTCAGGTTGGTGGTAAGTGCCTTTACCGGCTGAGCCATTTAGATTTTAATGGAAGTATGTTTAAAAGATCCTTTAAGGGGAACTTGGAAGAAATTTAGTAGTTGATTTGAAAATGCATAGTTTTAACAGCACATAGACATTTTAATATCTTCCTAACATGATAAAAATTTTCTTCATGTTATTTTTAAAATACTAGTGAGTTTTAGAAGCTATATTTTCAGTTTAATAGAGGATCCTTCATTCACAGGGATTTATTTTTGGAGTAATAGTATAAGTTAATTTAAAAATTAGGAAACAAGTTAATCTAAGGCTATTGGGTTTGGTAATGACCTTCACATTATAGTTGACCCTTAGGTATAGATAGATCTTTTAGCAAGCCTCACTTAGGTGGAAGTAGGAAGATAAATGGGCAATTGTGAAATTGCTTCAAAAATACTTAGAAAATTTTCAAAGATTACGCAATACTCCGTAAATGTAAAGGCGGATTAATCTATGCGTGTAACACTAGTGAAAATTTCCGGCAATGAGCATCAAAAGATGCTGTGGAACAAGGCTACACAGACCACCACGTACACATTTGATAAAATACTTCGATGCTAATAGATTTAGAATGCTTTGTTTTTGAGATGGTGTCTTAAGTAGCCTAGGCTAACCTGAAGCTCTGTGTAGCTGAGAATGAGCTTGTAGTCTTGATCCTGCCTTCACCTCCCAAATGATGGGATTACAAGTCTTAAAGTGACTTTTTTTTTTTTTTTTTTTTTTTTTTTGAGACAGTCCTGGCTGTCCAGGAACTCGTATGTGAACAAGGCTGGTCTCACAGGGATCCACCCACCTCTGCCTTCAAAGTGCTGGAATTAAAGGGTTTTTTTTGTTGTTGTTGTTGTTTTGATTAAAGGTTTTAAAGTGACTTTCTACTTGAGTTTTACTAGGACAATATTCATTATATATTGTTCTTATGAATTCAAGGATTTTGTTTGTTTTTATTTTCCTGTCCTGGGAAGTTGGGGACCAGAAGGCGATGTTGGACTCAGCCCCTTGTTCATGCTAACTGAGCATTCACTATCCCAGACCTCTGATGAAAATACCCCTGCTCTAATTTCAAATAATAAGGCCTTCCTACAACTGCGAGTTGGTGTGATTGATTTCAGGCCTCACTTTAGAAGAGATTTCTAAGGTCTCAATGGCC